CTCCCTGGAATCAGCCGCTGATCAGTTTCAGCAGCAGCTGACTTGGGGACGCCTGGGTTTCTTAAGTTGAATCCGTATGTAAGTCACAACTGGCGTCCAGATTCAGCCGCTGTTGAAACTGATCAGTTTCAGCAGCAGCTGACGCCAGTTCCGACTTACATACAGATTCAACTTAAGAACAAACCTACAGTCCCTATCTTGTACGTAACCCAGGGACTGCCTGTATTTTGGATTCAGTAGCCCTCCATATGGCTGCAGGGATCCTGCTGTGCAGAGTTAGGTGAAGAATCAGAGCCACATCTAGTTCAATCAGTCAAATAAACCGATATATCAGCAGGTTGAGATCTATTCTATGCCCAAGAAGGCATCGTTCAGTTACAAACCTGTCTATCATGAACTGTTTGTCAAGACTACACCTGCGTCCAGACTGCAATTGCGTTCTTTTGAAATTAAATAGACTACACCTGCGTCCAGACTTCAATTGCGTTCTTTTGAAATTAAATCGAAACAATGGAGGGGCTTTTTCGACATTGGTAAACCTCAAATTACGAGGAAGAACACCTTTTTTCAAAAGAGCTCTTTCAAGAAAAAAGGCATATGTAGACGTAGAATAGGGACATTTTTTTTAAAGAAGAAGCAATCAAAAAATGCACAGGTGTCCTGGTGGCCACTCTGTGACTAGCAATCAGGGCTTTCTTTTGAGAGAGCATTCATGCAGTCTGGACACTGACTTTCGAAAAAGCAGATAGCAGAAAGCTTTTTCGATCCTGTTTTGAGTTGTGGATGCTCTCTTTCGAAAGAAGCTTTTTCTTTCGAAAGAAGCTTGCAGTCTAGATGTACCCAAAATGTCCTCTAATTTTGAGGAGTAAAAAAGTACAGGGGGGTTTAATCCTGTTAGAGAGAGATTGTGTACTGCTTATTGGAGAAGAACATCAAAATGATACAAATTGTGAGGATTTTGTGTGGTGAAACAGCTCTTCTTGATACAAGAACTTCTTTTAAAACTTCCAGTCTTTGCTGCCAGTGGTACAGCTTTCCACTTGTAGTGGTGGGAGAACAAGCCTACACAGATCACTAGTAGCTGATGACATATTAAGCACCATGTTGTGTAGATTTGCTCTAAGCAACTGTAGACATAATTGTGCTAAAAATGCCAGTGGCTGCTTATAACTGTCTACGTTTAACAGTTTCTTTGATACTTTCACTGGAATTGCTATGACAGTGGCAGCAATAGTTGAAGATTTTAATAAAACATTCCCTTTTGTAGAGGCAACCAAAAAGAAAAAATCTGGTGTCCTGGTTTTAGATGAGTTGAACTTGAATTGTGGAGACACTTTTAACCATGACGGAAAACCGAAAGATGGACCGATACTTGGATGACTATTTAAAATGGAGATTGACTTGATGGGGCTGTTTGATAGGTTCGTGTGGCTGTGTCCAAGTGTTTTAACTAGTTGATTCATCAGGACTTCCTATGCCATGTTGGTTATTGAGTTTGTTGTTAGATCAAATTGTGGTGTTTGATAAGTGCTGGAGAGAGCATATGGTATATCCATTATGGTTCACAAGAGTGTCTGCTGAATTCTAGAATGGATATGTTGTTCCACTAACTTACACAGCACCTGGAAACATTTTCTGCATAATGAATGATTACAGAAGGTCCTACAACAGTTGTGAAATTATATTTAGCATCTTGGAGCTTATTTCTCAGTGTTAAAAATAGTAGTTGCATCTTGCTTTGGGAGAGAGCTCTTAATCTAAGATTTGAAATTCTTCAAAAATTGCTAGTTGCCATTTCAATAGAAGGTATTCTGTGAATATTTACTGCTTCTGCCCAAATGATCTAACTTTTCTTAGTCTGTCCTCCTTCCTCCTGCCAAAATTAAATATTCAGGTCAAGTGTGTGCAGATGTGCTGATGATTTGCAGAAAGGACGGGTTATTCAATGTTTGCCCTTTCTGACAGGGCTCCCTCAGCATGCATTGCCCTTTTCCATTCCCAGGAAAATAAATCTCTCTTGTCAAGAAGTTCATAGTAAGGTGGGCTAAGGGGATCCCCAGTCAAAACTTGTCTCTTGATCTATGGAGAGTTAATAAATCAGAGTAAGACAGAAGACTTGGAAAAAGGGACACCTCAAAGGGTGAGTAACCCAACTTTTCCTTATTTTACAGCCAAATCAAGTCTGTGCGCACGTGCATACTCTTTACTGGGGTTTGAAGGATGTATTCTCTCTATTTATGATGTTCTGTGTTAACTGTTGTTAGTTCAGAAAAAAAGTAGATTTCATTTAAATGTAAAATATTTGAAGCAAAACAAGGAAGGAACATTTTTCAAAAGTTGTATTTTTCTAATATCTGTTTTTTCTTGGTGTTGCCCACTGTCTAATTTGGCTATGCACAAACTTCATTTCTGCATTGTTTCTTGGCTAGAACATACCTTCAAGTGCTTCCCTAACTGAATATGTACAATAAAGTGTTAGATTCTGAAAAGATGTTCATGTTTTTGCTCCTGTGCTTATGCTATGTAGGTGATGCGGAAATTGGCAGCAGCGGTGTTAACTCTTTGAAGAAGGAGGACTTTACTATGAGAGGTTTATTAGATGACCTTAATGATGATGAAATTTGGGGTGCCTCACACTCACTGAAATGTGGAAAAGCTGTTTCCATAGAAACTGCTAGTCTAAGTGAATACGCTAGATATGTGCTAAGAACTATTTGCCAGCAGGTAAAAACTGTGCTTCTAGCTTTTCTTTATAAACAGCATTCTTTTGACAAAAATCTGTCATGTAAGAGGCTTTAACGTGTTTGAATGAAAGACTTTGAGGATGTATTGTACATATTTTTCTTATGTTATTTGAATCTGAATTCTCCCTTATATTGGCCTGGCTTTGACCAGAGATCATTTAAAAGTCAGTGGAGCTATACTGGGGATGAATTTGGCCTATAGACTTTAGTGTCTCCCAGTCTTTTTAATTAATCCCTCTTTTTCCCAATTGAACCTTAAAATGCCTGCCCTTTTGGTAGCTGAAATAGCAGGCCTTAACTGAGAAATGTTAGTGGTGTTCCATGAATTGGCTAGTAAAAGGTACTCATGAAACTTGTGGATATCATTTGGTAGCATCAGTTAATTATCAAGCAGCTTTTAGCATTTTTAAAGAAACAAATTTTGGAAAGCCATTGGAAGCGTAGTGTACTTCTAACAGTTGTAAGTTTCTGAATAAAGGTGAAATTTCAAGTATCATATGTGGAACTAACTTCTGAATATCTGCATGTGGAAAATTTGTGTTTTGTGTGAAAAATTAGTGTTAAATTCACAACTACGTTATCGATCCAGCTGTCTGATTACTTTCAGGAATGGGTGGGAGAGCACTGCTTGAAAGAACCTGAGAGGCTATGCACGGACAAAGATCTTGTATTGGATCCTGTTCTTTCAAACAAGCAAGCACAGAAACTACTGCAGCTTATCTGCTACCCTCATGGTATTAAAGAATGCCTGGAGAGCGACAACACGCAAAGACAACACATCAAGCGCATACTTCAGGTAATAAAATGTAAAAATATTCTAAATTGCTGTAAGATATTAATTCTCAAGTCTCATTCAGCAGCACCATCAATTCAATGTGCATGTCATGCAATTCCCAGCGTTACCAACCCCCAAATTTAAAAATCATGACTCGGATCACCCCCAATCATGAGAGATTTTTGTAAAAATTAATTTTTGGAATGTGTTTTTCCCACCTCTACCTCCAACCCCCTGCATGAGAGAGAGTTAGCATTGCCAACACCAGCTATCCCAGATTTGAGTGTGGTGATTTTGTCCCCTGCCTGCAGAGAGCTCTTGATGGCTGACTGGTTGTACAGTGCTTCCAATTTCTCTCCAAACCCCAGAATTGTAATTAATTAGTTTTATGTCATCCCTCCCCAACCCTTACATATGCCTGTACAGCAGTGGCCACCAACCAGACGGTCGGGGTCTACTGGTAGATCTTGGAGCCTCTGACAGGTGATCCTGACTGGTTTGGCCAAGAGGCTCTCAAGTGCCAGCGCTTCAGCTGTTCCCACAGACTGCTGCACAACTCCTGCCCTTTGTCTTGGAGCTGTCCCCTCAGGAGCCTCCGGCTTTCTGTGCAGGGCAGGAAAGGGTGAGGGGTGCTCATGCCAAGGTGCTCCCTCTCCCACTCTGTATCCTATTTCCACAAAGCAGACAGGGGACACAACAGGACTTGGGATGGAGGGAGTTTTCTGGCTGCTTTAGGGAGTGGTGCAGGGCCAGGGCAGGGGTGAGTCTGCCTTAGCCCCTCTGCTCCACCACCTAGGAGTCACTTGAGGTAAGCAGCTCCTGCTCCAGCTGGAGGCCACATCCTGCAACTCTACCCCAGTCATGAATCCCGTCCTGCACCCTATGCCACCCCTGCATCCAAACACCCTCCCAGAGCCTGCACCTAGAACCCCCTCCAGCATCCGAACTGCCTGCTCCAGGCTCAGCTCAGGGCCCCTCTTGCAGTCCAGATGCCTTCATCCGAGACCAGAGCCTGTGCCCCAATGCCTGGTGAAAGGGAAGGGAGGATGGAGTGAGCAGGAGGTGGGCCCTCGGAGAAGCTGCACAAAGGAGGCAGGGCAGGGTGTTTGGATTTGAGGTAGATCTTGGCCCTCGGAGAAGCTGCACGAAGGAGGCAGGGCAGGGTGTTTGGATTTGAGGTAGATCTTGGATTACATCTAAATTCAAAAAGTGATCTCATGCTTAAAAAGGTTGGAGACCCCTGCGTACAGCCACTCCCTTCTGTGTGCCTCATGCAGCTCCTGGGGTTCTTGATTCCTCCTCCCAGGCCTGGGCAGCAGCTGCAATAGGGTTCTCTTATTCCCCTTCACAGGTCGGGGGCTTGGGCAGCTCCAGGGATTTTTCAACTCCCCCTCCCCCTTTCCAGGAGTTGCAGGAAGGAGATGCAGATAGGAGACTTGGCCCCTTTTTCACAGGAGAAGAGTGGAGAGGAGGGAGCAGAACCACCCTGAGCCATAGGCTCTATCTGCTCTTTCCCCTTCCTCCCTTTTGCTCAGCTCTTAAGGGAAGGAGTTGCAGCTCTCACTGCTTCTTGAAGTAACCGTGATTGGTGGTTCTTCTGCAGGAGATAGGGAAGTGGGAATAGCAACCAAACAGAGGGGATTTCCCCCCCCCCCCCCCGCCTCCTTAGGCAGAGCTGAAATGCATGCAAGGCCTGGAGCTTCTTATATCATTGTGAGAGTCTCCAGCCCCAACTGAAAGCACAAGAGCTAACAACCCGGAGTTTTTTTTTCTCCCTGTTTTTTGTGGTTGATGGGCATTTCCTATCAGGTACTTTTATTGATCCCACAAGTTTCTATTCAAGCGTACTCACCAAAATCAAATCCAAGTTTGTCTGTTTATGTATTTCATCACATGGTAAAAACACTAAGTATATTGGCTAGACTTCGGAGACTAGTCCCTGTTACTCTAGGAGTGTTTGACCATTATAGAAATATGAGTATACTGTACTAGCAGAGAGATCTTGGTGTAGGTGTAGCTATACCAGAAAAATCTGCATTGTGTACCAGCTTATTAAAATCATGCTCAACAAGTGAAGCTAACTATAGCAAAACCACATTTTTCCTGTGTGTACACTAAAGACTTCTGCTTTCATAGCTGAGTCTGTCAGGAATCATGGCACTTCACTGACTGGAATAGCCGTGCCAACCGAAGTCTACAGTTTAGACAGAGCCATACTATATATTACTGTGACCGCGTTGAGGGGTGCGATCACCCCCTTCCAACAGGAAGGGGGGGGTCAGCGAACCCAGTCGCCGGATTCTGGTCTGCTGGTCCCGGAGTCTAGTCCGGATTAGTGTCTTTGGGTGCGATCACCCCGCTCAGCTGAGTCTGGGGGATCCGTAAACCCAGGGGTTGTCTGTCCCTTTGTGCGGGGCTCTTCCCCGCAGTCTCAACTGGAGGTTCCCGCTCATCAGCACTGGAGCAACGCTCAACTCCCTACGGTGGTGGGAGGGGAGGAGGACCCGGGGCCACCTCCTCCACCAGGTCCCAGCCCAGGGCCCTAAGCACAGGGGTCTACTTGCCCCCTGTGCGATAGATGTGGGATGCACTCCCGAAACACGTCTATCCACGGGCACCAAAAGGGCCCTGCTCCGGGCTGCTCCCGGGGGGGGGAGGGAGGGCGTCACCTGGCTCCAAGCCCCTCTGGAGCCATCCTCCAGATCTACCGTCCGCCCTTTTTAAAAGGCCCGCCGGACATGACGTGCTCCCGGCACACCGCCCCTCCTGTGTGTGCGTGTGTTCCCCCGCCCCGTCCTGCCCGGCAATCCCAGTGCCCGCCGGGAGCCGGGTTGGCTGCGGCTCAGTTTCTCAGCCACAGGGGAAGTCCTCCTCCGTGCGGGCTGCCTTTGGCCCGTCACAATTACCATATTTTTTTTTCCTGTTGCATCAACATACTATATCAAAGTTTAAAGCAGCAAGAAACAAAGTTTAACATAAAGTTTGGTACTGGCCTTAGAAATGTGCCATTTTAGTGTTAAAACTCATCTTTAAACTACCCAATTGTGTGAAATTTGTAACTTAAAACCAGGTAATATGTAATATCTCTGTCCAATGAGATACTCATCATGCAAAGCTGTGGGATTGCATTTTTTGATTTTGTAAGTTTGTTACATTCAGAAGTGCTTGAAGTGTGGATTTTAAGAATGGGAACTAACAATTTTAATAGGTGTCGAAAATTTGTTCAAGTTCAATGGGTGTGTGAAAGCCATACAACTTTGACAAGGGTTCTCAAATGAAGTAAGAGACTTGAGATGAAAAGCATTTTTAAGATATTCAGATAACTTGGAGAAATCAGAAAACAGAGAAAATCGGTTCTGAAGACACAGTATCACAAAGTCTAACTCTGAATCTCTTTCAGTTAGTTCAGGCTCCCTCTTTGCTGCTGCTGCTGTGGCACTCAGAATTGTGGGTGATTTAGATGGAAAAGTATTACCTTGTAGATTTCTGGTGGCTTCCTGTTTTCTCCAATAGAAGGATTCATCCTCTGTGAACCCTGGGTCTGGAAACATGTTAAGAATTTAGCCTATTAGGATGCAGTCCACATTCTGCTCACAAATGCTAATTGTTTAGATCAGCATGTAGGAATTATTGTTTACGGTAAACACTCAGCAGGTTTAACTTCCCTTGCTTTTTTACTCTGTCCGAGCAATACAATGGGTGCCAAGTCACCTCATGCTGATGTATGAGCAAAGGGTCCCTACCCTTCATGGAAAAAAGTGTGGTATGATGTCTCTACGGCCCTTTCCATACCCAGTACCACAGGGGGGTTTTCAGAGGAGTCAGAGATCTACTTTTTAAAAAGACTGGGACACCACTCTACTAATTCCTATCCCATCCTAGCAATCAACAGGGAATCCATTGAAAAGTCAATCAGTTCTGAGGCTGTATTAACTGCTAGGTAAAAAATATATACAGGCAGTCCCCGACTTACGCGGATCCGACTTATGTCGGATCCGCAGTTACGAACGGGGCTTTTCTCGCCCTGGAGGACACGGACTGCGGGACCTCGCGGTCCCGCCGCCCGTGTACTCCGGGGCGAGAAAAGCTGCTCTGCGTCTCCCTGGTCTACAGACCAGGAAGACGCGGAGCAAAGCCGCGGAAGGGCTTTGCAAAGCCTCGGGGAAGCCGGCAGCGGAGCAGCACAGGCGCGCCTGGGCTGCCTCGCTGCCTGAGCCCCTCCGCGGCTTTGCAAAGCCTCGGAGCAGCCCAGGCGCCCCGCAGCTGTCCCACTGCTGGCGTCCTCAGAGGCTTTGCTCCCCGTCTCCCTGGTCTGCTGGTCTCCAGCAAACCAGGGAGACGGGCAGCAAACCCTGTTCGTAACTGCGGATCCGACATAAGTTCGTAACTTATGTCGGATCCGCCTA